CATTTTTGAACTTTGTGTATGACAAATTTTGTATATTTTCTGGGATTTTGTTGTAAAAGCGTATACATCGCCCCAAGAATGAATTACTGACTCGGTGGAGTCGAGTAACTGGTACTACCAGCTTGTGTCTGCTGGGTGTGCGATGTCCACAGGAAAGCAGTATTGCTACAACAAACCCGCTTACCACCGGCACTAAGATTGTTGTTATATAAAACTGCACCAACGTATCATAGTAGCACGCTACTAAGACGCCAGTGGACAAAACTCCACGTATCATAGCGCTAATGCACTAAGACATGAAGTTGAGTATGCCTGTTACACTTAAAAGTGCTACCAAACACACTCATCATCCCAATCCGAAAGATAGACGACGCATCGCTATGCGCTACGACGTCACCACAAACGGTATGGGTGTGCGATGTCCACGGGAAAGCCGTATTGCCACAACAAACCCGCTTACCACCGGCACTAAGATGATATGTCTAGGACACATCGGTTAGCAAGTCCAAGTTTACCTCGGACCAATTGCTCGTGAAGCAGCACACACGCCACCATAATATTCCTTTTCATCCCTAATAAGGACTAGTCATTTTGCTACAGTACTAGGAGCAGTCGGTCACCCGACCACCCCATACAATGCTTATGCATCAAGGAGACCTCCTATAATATTGCTTTTGTATCATAGACCTTACTTTCATAAGTCATGCATATATAGGATTCGAACCCACGACCCTACTATTATAATGCAAATTCATCATGGAGACCTTCTATAGTATTGCTTTTGTATTATAGACCTTACTTTCATAAGTCATTCATATATAAAATTCGAACCCACGACCCTACTATTGTAATGCATATTAATCATAGAGACCTTCTATAGTATTGCTTTTGTATCATTGACCTTACTTTCATATTAAGTCATTAATATATAGGGTTCGAACCCACGACCCTACTATTGTAATGCACATTAATCAATGAGACCTTCTATAGTATTGCTTTTGTATCATAGACCTTACTTTCATAAGTCATTAATATATAGGGTTCGAACCCACGACCCTACTATTGTAATGCATATTAATCATAGAGACCTTCTATGGTATTGCTTTTGTATCATAGACCTTACTTTCATAAGTCATTAATATATAGGGTTCGAACCCACGACCCTACTATTGTAATGCATATTAATCATAGAGACCTTCTATAGTATTGCTTTTGTATCCTTGACCTTACTTTCATATTAAGTCATTAATATATAGGGTTCGAACCCACGACCCTACTATTGTAATGCACATTAATCATAGAGACCTTCTATAGTATTGCTTTTGTATCATAGACCTTACTTTCATAAGTCTTTAATATATAGGGTTCGAACCCACGACCCTACTATTGTAATGCATATTAATCATAGAGACCTTCTATGGTATTGCTTTTGTATCATAGACCTTACTTTCATAAGTCATTAATATATAGGGTTCGAACCCACGACCCTACTATTGTAATGCATATTAATCATAGAGACCTTCTATAGTATTGCTTTTGTATCATAGACCTTACTTTCATAAGTCGTTAATATATAGGGTTTGAACCCACGACCCTACTATTGTAATGCATATTAATCATAGAGACATGTAGTATTGCTTTTGTATCATAGACCTTACTTTCATAAGTCATTAATATATAGGGTTCGAACCCACGACCCTACTATTGTAATGCATATTAATCATAGAGACCTTCTATGGTATTGCTTTTGTATCATTGACCTTACTTTCATAAGTAATTAATATATAGGGTTCGAACCCACGACCCTACTATTGTAATGCATATTAATCATAGAGACCTTCTATAGTATTGCTTTTGTATCCTTGACCTTACTTTCATCTTAAGTCATTAATATATAGGGTTCGAACCCACGACCCTACTATTGTAATGCACATTAATCATAGAGACCTTCTATAGTATTGCTTTTGTATCATAGACCTTACTTTCATAAGTCATTAATATATAGGGTTCGAACCCACGACCCTACTATTGTAATGCATATTAATCATAGAGACCTTCTATGGTATTGCTTTTGTATCATAGACCTTACTTTCATAAGTCATTAATATATAGGGTTCGAACCCACGACCCTACTATTGTAATGCATATTAATCATAGAGACCTTCTATAGTATTGCTTTTGTATCATAGACCTTACTTTCATAAGTCATTAATATATAGGGTTTGAACCCACGACCCTACTATTGTAATGCATATTAATCATAGAGACATGTAGTATTGCTTTTGTATCATAGACCTTACTTTCATAAGTCATTAATATATAGGGTTCGAACCCACGACCCTACTATTGTAATGCAAAATCATTATGGAGACCTTCTATAGTATTGCTTTTGTATCATTGAGTTTAATATCATAAGTTCCTAATATAGGAATAGTCATTGTGCTGCAGTACTTCAGGCACTCGGGCTCCGCGCACACACATCACTGCCTTTATATACAAAATACTGACAATGCGACACCCTGTAATTGCGATGCCATAGAAATTGTAAATAAGCACACCTATCTTGGTCTAATAATTGACGATCGGCTAAACTGGAAAGAGCATGTAAATCGTGTTTGTGATATATTAAGAGGGATATTAGCAAAATTTACATTAATCAAACAAAAAATACCTTACAAAACCTCTTTAATGCCATATAAATCCTTAGCTGAATCTGTTATACAATATGGCTTGTCAAGCTATGGGAGAACCTATAAAACATATCTAGATCGAATATACTCACTTCAGCTGCGCATTTTAAAACAAATAGTCCCTAATAATCTCAAAATTAATTTTAAAGATGATTATCGAAAACTATTTGCATTTTGTAAAATTATACCTATTCACGACAAAGTTGAACTAACATTACTAACTGAAAATTACTTTACTGAAAATTTTAAAAAGGAGATAAGTTATTATACTCGGCACGCAGAACAGATAATCTAAAACTGCAATTACCTAGATATAATAACTTATACGGAAAAAGAACTTTAAACTATGTTATACCTAATCTAATCAATCAGTTACCTAAATCTTTGAAAGACGTCATTACACATAAAAACATAAAACATAAATATTTTTTTTATATACAATTAACTTTTACTAAATACTCGTAACACTTTAAACAAATTCTCGTTCTATATTATTGGTTTACTTTACCAACATATTATCTTATTATAAATTTATGAAAATATATGTTATAATCAGCCTGTATCACAATTACTCACAGAATGTAATAAGATCACCTTGTGATGTTACGCTCATCGCCTAAAACTATTTTATATTTTTGTACCCACAAATAGTTCGTCAATTAGAAACATAACATTTAATGCACCTAATTTAAGTTGATAATAATATTAATGTAACTTTGGTAATGTAATGTATTATAAAGTGTTAATTAGAATAATGTGTCGACAGCAATGGTGTACGGAAAAACTCTAATGAGTTTATGTTTACACTAAAACTATTCATCTATGTAATCATAAATTTCTTTAATAAATAAATAAATAAATAAATAAATAAAACTGCTGGTATGTATCTCCGGCAGCGTCTCTATACAAGACATCTATACATGAACACCTTCCATAACTTAGGAAAATTTTCTTTTATACGTGAACTCCTTTCACAACTTGGGAAATTTTATACAGAACTCTCAACAACTTAGGAAAATTTTCTTTTATACATGAACTCCTTACAAGACTTAGACAACTTTTAACAAATTTTCTAATTATCTTACAAATGTTATTTATCTTTCTTTTTATAGTATTTTCGACTTCTATTTCTATTATTTATCTTATTTTAAATATTTTTTCAAGTTTTTAATAAATTTATTTATTATAGAAGACAATATTTTGCCTTTAATTTACTATGTTATTGGTCTAATGTCTGAAATGTATTTATATTATGGTTATGGTTATTAATGTAATTTTATTGTTTATTATATATCTTTTAAGACTATTTTTGACGCCCCTTTATATTGAATTTAATTATTAATAATAATATTGGGCCGTCACAATCCACCCCCAAATTTTATGTTAATGACCCCACAGTGGAGTCGTTGATATAAAATTTTTCTATATTGAGAGCATATGCACTACACTCAAAATTTTGAACTTATGTGTATCTGTTATTTCCTCTTTCAATCTGTTACAATTCAGTATATATTTTCATCCCACCTACCCCAGGGAATGGCCGCCGCCAATCACCCCTTCGACCACATCTATCCCAGTGCGATAAACCTTAAATCGTTATTTTGATAAACTTTTTGTATTTATGTTGTTAATATAGTGGTTCTCTTTAGTTTTTGACTTAAATTTTAAGTCCTTAAAATATTAATTCAGCAATTTTGTTTTTATATGCACAGTATTTTGAATATGAGTTGAAATCAGATGGCTACACACCCACAGGATAAATGTGATTGAGCCATTCACCCTGAGCCAACTCCCCAAATTTATTCAAATAAAAATATTTTACAAAATTGTCTTACATTCAATATTTACATATAGTCGTTGATATGATATTATATAATTTTTCTTATTTTTAATAGTTTTGTGTCTTGCTCATATTTTTTATAATTTTAAATTTATTTTCTCAAACGGCCACCCACGAGACCAATTTATATTACAATATTTATTCTGGGATGTATATAAACCAAAACTAATATTTAAAATATTTTAATAAATGAATAGCATTAAAATTTCCTCTAATTTCATTTGTTTCTGGGTTTGCTAAAGTATATTAAAGTACAATGTCAAATGGTACGGCTGCTATTATGTAAGGCCCCTCATACGCAAAATTAAATTTACTCATAACTTTGTTATCTGCATCTGATTTACTAGATCTAGAAACTTTTACTAAATCGCCAATGTGATATTTCATTAATTTATTACGCTTATCAAACTTTGTGTTTATATTTATTTTATATCATTCGCGACGGGGAAGGAGTACCCACAATAAAAAAAATGGCTTATCTGGGAAATCTGCCTATTTTTGACCATAAGTCAAGTGAATGGTCAATTTTCAAAAGCAGACTAACTCAGTTTGCGAAGATAAATCGCGTCGAAGAAGTGAACAAAAGTGGAATTCTTCTCACCCATCTTACGGATGAAACGTATCGCTTGGTACGAAACTTAGCGTACCCGCAAGACTTAGAATCTCTAAGTTACTCGAATCTCGTTAAATTACTCGACGGTCATTTCAAGCCAAAAAAATGCTCATTTGTGGATAAAGAAAAATTTTTTGGGGCAACCAGAAATCCAGGCGAATCATTGGGAGACTGGGAAGCGCGATTGCGAGGTCTCGCAAGCAATTGTGACTTCGGCACTGCCTTGGAAACGAATTTAAGAGATCGTTTCGTCCTCGGCATGGTCCCTGGTCCGGAACAAGATAAGTTGTTCGAACAAGACCCGTCCACATTGACACTGTCAGTAGCTATGGAGCTATCCGAGCAGGCGGCGTATGCCAGGCAGGCGAAGGTTATGTTGTGCACCAGCGAACATGCTCCAATTAAGGAGGAACCGGTATACCGAGCGAAATTTCAAGGTCAAGGAGACAGCGGTGCGGTTATACGGCGTCCTAGTGCTGGCAGGACATCAGCAGGTCGCGACCAACTGAGAGATTTTTCTCGTTGTTCGGTCTGTGGCTTGAAGAACCACCAAAGTGATAAGTGCCGTTATAAAAGTTACAAATGTCAAAAGTGCTGTGAAAAAGGTCATTTAAAGAAAGTGTGCGATAGTGTCAATAGATCGCGGATGTACCATATCGAGTCGGTAAGCGAACCAGAGCAGGTCAAGGACACGTCTTGTGAGGAGTGCCACAATTTTAATTTGAGGTATGTGACTGATAAGCCCATTTCAATTGATGTAATAATAGGTAATCAGTGTATGACAATGGAGCTTGATTCAGAATCAAGTAAAAGTATGATTTCTTATAATACATATAAGGAAAAATTCTTAAAATATTCATTACGTATTAGTTCTGTAAAAATGTGCTTATATAACGGACACAAGATTGATCCATTCGGTTATATTACTGTAGAAACTAGTTACAATAACAGTACAAAATTGATTAAATATTTTGTTGTCAAAAATAGGGGACCGCCTATACTAGGTAGGGATTTCATGAGCGCCTTTAATTTTGTGATTACTACTAAATTAAATTACATAAGAAATGATTCCGAATTGCATGAGTTATTAAATAAATATTCGGCGTTGTGGCGTGACGAGTTGGGCGCATTTAATAACTTTAAAGTCAGTTTGCAGTTGAAGGCGAATGCTGTGCCTAAGTTTTTTTAAGCCGCGTACTGTACCCTTTGCCCTCAGAGATAAAGTCGAACAAGAGCTAAACCGATTAGTGCACTTGGGTATCCTGGAGGATTACCCTGGACTTGGGTAGCATGGAGACACTCTTATCAGGAATGGACGGAGTAAGCATATGGCTTGATGACATTTGTGTCACGAGCCTCGATAGAAATTCCCACATGCAGCGGCTAAGTAAAGTCCTAGATAGACTATGTAAGGCAGGCCTACGTTTACAAAAAGACGAATGTCAATTTTTCAGAGAAAGCGTCAGGTATTTGGGTTACGTGATTAGTAAAACGGGATTAAGGACTTGTCCGGATAAAGTACAAGCCATTCTTAGTGCACCGGGACCAAATAACGTCACCGAAGTTAAAAGATTTCTAGGAGTAGTCAACTACTATAGAAATTTTATTCCAAATGCCTCTTCTGTACTGAGTCCTCTACATGAGCTATTACGTAAAGATGCAAAATGGGAATGGGGAAAACGGCAGCGACAAAGCGTCGCAGCGATACGGCGCGAACTGGCGTCAGAACGCGTGTTGGCTCATTTCGAGCCAGCGGCGCAGCTAGTGCTGGCGGTGGACGCCGGCCCGACCGGTCTCGGCGCCGTACTCTCACAAAGGGCGGAGGACGGCACGCGGAGAACGCCCGCTAGCGTATGCATCTCGCTCACTTACGAGCAGTGAAAGAAACTATAGCCAGATACAGAAGGAAGCGACGGCCATTATCTTCGGGGTCCGACGCTTTCATCAATATTTGTACGGTTGCGAAGATCCTTTTATCCTGAAAACCGACCACAGACCATTAGTATCAATTTTTAATCCTAAAACAGGTATTCCTGTTACTACTGCGCTAAGACTGCAGCGATACTCAGGTTATATTGTCCGCTTATAACTATGTCTTACAATATGTATCTAGCGGAAATAATATTGTGGCCGATTACTTCTCACGCGCTCCTGTAAAATGCGTCAACGAGTCGTCGAACGATATAGACACAAACGATATAGACACTCATTATGCAGTTAGGTTTCTCGATGCGTCATCGCCGGCCACTTCGGCCCGCGATGTTGCGCAGACGACGGAGCGAGATAGGACGATTAAAACCGTGCTTAGGTACATGCAACACGGGTGGCCGCGTAAATTAAAATGTAAATCTATTTTACCTTATTTTCATTGCAAGTCCGATTTACAATATGAGAATGGTTGTCTTTTTAGGGGACATAGGATTGTTATACCACTCGGGTTGAGAGATAGAATGTTACGCTGTAGTGTATGTGCCTCCACCCTACTAGCATATGTTAATAAATGTACTTACTCTTAGGTTTAAGTGACAGTATAATTAAAGTCTTGAGTAGAGAAACACGTCTTCTTTTCATTTACCAACCGTTCAACATTACATGGCGACCCTGCCAGGCGGTGCGCGGCGACAAGGCACGCGCACCGCCGCGGCCTGCACAAATAGTTAAAGAAATATGGAAAAATAAATATAAAACTTAAGGAACAATTTTCAACTATTGAATTGACACTACCGGATGTGACAAGTAAGCCGAAACGGAGACATAAGAAGAGGCGACAAGGTTATTATTTCTTTAAGGAGATATGCTAATAAAACCTATTAGAAAAAGAAGAAAAATGTTACGAAAAAAAAAACGGGAACGATCAACTTCAGAAACAAATATTATGACAGCTTCAAATATTACATGAAGATTAAACGAATTAGATGGTGAGACCACAAATTTAAGAAAAATAGAAGAAACTTCCTGCAAGCCTTAACCGATAAGAAGATAGAAAAAATTGAGCCGAAAAGAACAAATTATGAGGTAACTTCGCACCTATGTGATTTTAATTCTATTTCAAACTTTATTTAACAATTTAAGATTGTTTTTTTTTTGCTATTATGTTTTTAAAGTTAGATATTAAATATTCTGTATTTTACATATAATTAAGTTGAAATTAGTTATCAGATTATTCACAATATACTTTATTATCAAATATTTTAATACCTACAAAAAAAAACAAAAACAATTATAATACAGTATTAAAAATTAAGTTGAATTTTAAGCACTTATGTGGCACTTCTATTAAAGCGCCAGACCAGACTTTATATTCTCATTTATGAAGTTATAGTTTTGTATTATTTTTTTACTGTGTCCTGCCAAACAATTAATGAAATAATAAAATAATAGATTCCAATTTTACGCACTTGATTTAAAATAACACTGTGATACATTTCGTTGATTTTTTTTTCTCGAATCCAAATTTTAAAGGCTTAGAAACATTTCACTATCATTATAAGTTTTAATTTTTTTTAAAGGCATTAAATCTTAAATTTATATAATAACTTATGTAAAATATAAAAAACTTCCTTTTAAATGTTTGAATAAATTATTGTATCATTGTGTAAAGGTGATAACTCTAATAATGTGATTTTCAATTATTCTGTATACACGACATAATAAATAACATACTTTCAGTAATATTTTTCGATCTGTATAAAAGCGATATAGCTTTTAACGATGTAACCATGTGGACTTCTGAATAAATAAGAAATTAAAATATTAGTTTAAGGTAAATTTTTGTTACTCGCACTAATTTATATGAGTACTACTACTTGTGTAATAACAAATTGTACACGTTAAGTTGACATTAGGCACGATCATACGATGCGATTATTTTAACGTTTATTATCAATTATATTTTTCATATTTTCTGGCTAAAATAACACTTTTATTTCTTTTGAAAGACAAGAAACTAGTATAGGTAGGTAAATATAACAAGACTCAATCTTTACACAGTGAATATAAAAGGTCTGCTAACCATTTCTTACGAATGATACTGACGTTTCTAAAAATATGATATTATAAAATGTTATGCAATGAGCGTATCCTATAAAAAAAACATGGTAACATAGATGATAAATTTAAACTGAACACAGCAACATGCAACACATTAACAGGTGTAGGATAAATCATAACAACATTGTAATAGCGATAAAAATAATAAGTATAGGAAAATAAATGAGTAAATGATAATAGTAATTGTTACAGAGATGAAAATAATAAATAAATAACAGTGTAAACAGGAATAAAGTAGTTAAGAGAGGTTTTAATAATAATGGTTCAAAAAAAAAGTTAAACACCGACAAAGAAAATTTATTGATAAGAATGTTATCTCATTTGTACAAAAATTAGAAAGCATGTAATTGGTATGAGGAACGGAAGAATGTTCGAACGTGTAAATACAAATGATTTAGTTACTAAGTTTTGTCAATATTGGACTGATCACCCAAATATTGATGATACTTAAACTGTGCGACTTGAAATGTGTGAGAATGATGCAAGTTAGTATATAGAAGTGGGGCACGAAAGTATATAAATAAAGAACAAGGTAATGAAGAAATAAAGAAGGAATAAATATTTATGGCAATAATAAAAATAAATAAAAATATGACATTGACCAATAAGTAATGGAGAGATATGGGAACGTTCAACACTGGTATAGCGTATAGTCCTCGAGCAGGGTACGTTTCCGTGATTGGACGATGAAATCGGAGTAACGGGTACTAGGGAACAACGCCTTCAGCACAAGTGATGTAACTGAGTTTACTCATATTAGTACTGTTAGGGACCAGAGAAGTCTTAAATTTGTTACCCTTAATAATGGTACATTGAGGTCACATCCTTCGTTGGATCATGGTGCAAACTTAGTTTTCCTCAGTGACAATTGTTGGAGTCCTTTTAATGACTTAAACGTAGACCTCAAGGTTGTGCGCACAACCCAAGGTACACTTTTACCTTGATATAATTACGATAAAAAGTTATGTACCAACAAAATGAAATGAATGTTACGAAAATGTAATATAATACCCAAATAAATGGGGGGCCCATATGTATGTGTATAAAGTACCCGCATGATAAATATCACGAAATAAAATATAAATGAAGTGAATTGAAACTCCGATTCCCGATATCTAATAAATAAATAAATATATGCGTGAATAGAGAGAAATAAAGCTAGCTAAAAGTCAAAATATAAAAAAAGAGAAAGTACGTACAAGATTTATGAAAAGAAATGATAATAAAAAGGCCTAACAATCTACAAAAGTACAAGGTAATAAGGGGATCCCCGACCAAATCCATGGGGTTGGATAGATGGTTATTTTGCATTTCTATATTAGGACTATTAACGCTACCCAAAATACTACTAGCAAGTTGCACATATAACAGCTATAGGGTTCGATTCGCACAACTACACGTAAACAAATAAAAATATATCAACCCAATATGATAAGTACACTTTCGCGTAAATTTATATAAATTTACGAGATTTTTTCATATATAGGCACATTGATTCGTATTTACAATGATTCTACTTTAAATAATTTTTTTTCTGTCTCATGTTTTCTTATGTAAAATGTGTACAATTTTGAACTACATTTATATAAAGCTTATTATAATCAAGTCCAAAGGTTATCGATACACTATTATTGTAAATTGTATAATGTAATCGTTTTTTTTTTTCTATAAAAAAAGGCAACGAAAACCTAAAATTGTGTCACCTGCTTGAAATAAAATTGGCTTTTCCAATGTAAATAAATATTTTGTAAAAAAAAAACTTTAGCTGTGTACCTAACAGTGTATTCTCTTTTTATATAAATTTCTGTCCCAATTAAGATAAACGTATTTCTTAGAAGTAAAAGTAATATTTTATTATTAACAACGCAACTATTTTTAAATATCTGTTCCAAGTTTTAAGGTATATTTTACTTGCATTCATATTATAACATATTATGGAAGTTACTTAATGTTAGGTATGAATCACCACACCTTGTGATCATAGTCCGATGTAATTGCAAACGTAGCCTTATACGTACCTACCTACTTAGAAATTTAAAACGTAGGTGTCACAAACCGCTTACGCGACTGGGATTGCAAGTTGTATTTTGATTCCCGTTATTGCTGATAGCGATGATATTTGCGTTGCATTACATTATGTTTTTTGGTCTTTTCATATTTAAATGAAATGTAATATTATCGGTGTTATATTCATTAAACCTGCAAATCACATGCTTTAACTTTTATAAGTCATTAATTTCTGAAAATATAGTAGAATATTAATGTCTAACCTAGTTGTGTGGATCATGAAAGCAATAGTTAAACAAATATAAAGGTATAAATAAATTAAATATAAAGTATATACAATTATGAATACAAATGTGAATAAATATATATAAAGGTAGAGCAGGTACTGCTTAATATGAAATGTAATAGTTTATTTTCAGTTTTATATTGTTTGAACTTTTAAATCATAACTTCTAACTAGAACATATAGTTAATGTAATAAATCTCGAGTGAAAATAAATGTAAAAAAAAATATTAATAAGTATATGGTATGATAGGTGGTATGTTCATGTTAACGTGCAGTTGTGACATTGATTAATATCAAAAATACGACAGGCTTAATGTCGTACGAAATAAAAATGTTAACGAAATAAAATCGCATGCGTATCACGGATTGACTTAATAATATGATTATGTATAACCATGGTATAATCTGATCATGATCATGAGATTATAATTTTTTTTAAATGAAGTTAGTTTTATATTTTGTTTAACTACGTTATTTTATTCCAATTAGAAATTATATACATTTAAAGCCTATGTAACATTGTATTTTATTTTAATCTTCAATATTAAAAGATTAAAAATAAATATTAAAAATTATTCAATATTAAAATTATTATAACGTTATAAGATTCATGAAAAATAAAATGTAAAAAAAAAGTAAATAGAGAACTTTCCTTTTTTTTTAAGTATCGGGGGAGGTGTAGTGTATGTGCCTCCACCCTACTAGCATATGTTAATAAATGTACTTACTCTTAGGTTTAAGTGACAGTATAATTAAAGTCTTGAGTAGAGAAACACGTCTTCCTTTCATTTACCAACCGTTCAACATTACAACGCGAGCTTCATGATTCTCATTTAGGAATAACCAAAACTAAATGTAACGCTAGAAGTAGAATGTGGTGGCCCGGTATTGACCGGGACATCGAACGCTGGATCGGATCATGTGCGACGTGCGCAAGCGTGCGGGCCGCCCCGCCGCGCGACCCCCGCGCCCTGGCCTCCCTCCACCGCGCCATGGCAACCAGTGCACATTGATTACATGACTGTAGGGCAGAGGGTATATCTGGTAATCGTCGACTCCTACAGTAAATGGATAGAATGTCTATACATGCATAACGGAACCTCATCTAATGCTTTAATAACAAAATTAAAAGGCGTTTTCTCTAATTTTGGAATACCAAATGTTTTAGTGTCCGACAACGATATAAAAATTAATTCACTCGAGTTTCAGACATTTTGTTCATCGAATGGCATAAAATACATGACATCACCCATTTACCATCCGCCAAGTAACGGACAAGCTGAGAATTCAGTAAGAACATGTAAAAAAATGTTAAAATGTATATTAATTGACAATTTACCTTTGCACAAAGTTCACGACATGTTATTAGGGTACCTATTTAACTATAGAAATACCGTGCATTGTACCACGGGTGAAACGCCGGCAAAGTTAATGTTCGGTAGAAATTTGCGGTCGCGTCTCGATTTAATTTTACCCTTAAAAAATCATAATTCTAATTCACTTACGGCAGCCGGGAAAAGATCTTTTGAAATCGGCGATATCGTTTGGACCCGACGGTACAGTGCACGAAAAGAATCTTGGCAGTTAGGTAGAATAAAGGAAAAAATAGGAAATAAAATGTATAGAATTCATATTAGGGACATGGAGGTTTGGTGTATTAGACATGTGGATCAAATTATTAGATATACGGGTTCAGACAGTAGTCGCGACGATATTGTCGCTACTCGGAGGAGACTCGTTGCCCCTCCACGTCGCCGGCTACTGTAAATGCACACCCTCCCGCGCAACAGCCTATGTTTCCGGGTATAAGTAATACGGAGCAAAGTATGGAACAGGCTACGAATATGCAGACGGGTGAGCTGCAATCGCCCTCGAATACTGGAGCGCCGAATCTTGGTTCATCTGACCACGGTGAGGCAGAAGAAGTAAGTGACTGTGAGACTAGGGAGTATGAAAAGTACAACATTGCCCCCGTAGAAAGGCCTATGGCAGAAACGGAGGCTGTGCCGTCCACAATTGGCGATTCCCATGTACCGCCAACATTGCCACTTTTAGCAACACGCCCGAAACGTACAAGACCAAGGGTGGATTATAAAAAGTATTTTTAAGTAGCGATTGTTAATTATAGTTACGCAGAGATCAAGTTTGCTAATTATTGTTAATAGTTATTATTAGTTGTTAAGTTTATGTAGAAAATTTTTTTTACTGTATTTAATTAAGAAACCTTGTTACCAGGTTCCAAAATTAAGTGGGGAGGAATGACATATACGTGTGTAGTACGGTCATCCAACCAGTAATAAACGAGTGTTACAAGACAGCGGTTGTTTCATTGCATTCACAAACATATCACTGATGCAACTTGCCTCTTTTAAATTATTTCGCACTTGTTGTCCAATTTGTTCGACATTATGTTTGTTTTTACTGTTTAGTTTAAGTGGCTGCTTGAACTAATAAATGTGATTGAGTCAGGCGTACTGACCCAAGTTTATAATTCTCTCTATTTAATTCAAATTATTACAAAAATCACACATGAACATTATTTGTTTTAACGAAATAATATAATGAAATACTTAAATTAATATTTTCTTAAAAATTTTACTTAAATCTTGCTCATAACTTTCGATTATATAGATATCATTAGATGGAACGTCCTTTAATTAATTGGTGAGATCTTATAAAAAGTTACTGGATGAGTATTTCATTTTCCATCTTCAGCTTTTCTGTTGCTACATTATGTATGATATATAATGTATTCCGTTTCGGATCAGTAACATATGAGGTGCTCGCCCCGCACACCTCTTCTTGGTTTACTTTAATTTGGTGATCTTTCGTTTGGTTAATAAACTTTTTTTTTTTCGATAAATTATTTTAACCTCAAAGGTTTTCACTGCATTTTTAATTAATTTTTGAAGCATCTTAAATTTATTTTTAGGCTTAGCCTTCACTCAGTTAGAACTTTTCTTTGTTTTAGCCATTATTATATTTATATACTTTTATCAGTTTTTAGCACTGTTATCTCCTTCACTTACACAAATGTTACTGCATCTCCTCACTTATTTCATATTATGTTTTATTCCGTATTAACTAAGCACACACCTTTTAAAACCAATAATCAATATTAATATTAAAGCCCCACCCCCAGACTCTAAACTACCCCCAGCAAACACCATCCTCAAAGACACCTTTCCATTTAACGGACAACAAATCATACTTCATAATTCTTATACAGACGACCTTCTTTTTAAAATATATCCTGGTCACGGCACCAAATTGTAACGCTTCCTCCCTCTCTCATAATAATAAATATATTAAATACTAAATGTATTATATTCCCCTTTACATTATAATGGCCGTAAACACTCCGTGAGCGCCACCACCTGCCAGACTGCCAGCTACCACCCACATAAGGTCGACACATAAACTCCACCAACCAATACAACGGCAGATATAGCCAAAAGGCAGTTATAAGATAAGAGTAATAATCCGCCATCAGAAAGGGTTTGTGTCACTGACGTTGAGTAAATGCATTTTCGATCATGTGTGTCTCGCCCACCAACAAGTTGCCTTCAATCATTCAAAGGTGGGAAGTTATAGAGATATTTTATTATGTTGTTATATAAAACATCATGGAGGGCAGACAGTCTGCAGCCCCGTAATGAAGGGACCCGACTTGGGCAAAGCTACTTAGGTGTGAGTCAAACCAAGACGCAGAGAGCGCCATTGAGAATAGCGTCCCACCAACCAACGATCGCAGAAACGCAATGCTGCAGAACGCAACAAGCACCAATACGACTATCGTTGGCTTGCAACATCCCAAGGGCCCCCATACAACCCAGCAGACATCACCACCCGCATACCTCCATCGGCCAGAACCACAAGAGTGCGTCGAATCAGGCGCAGCACACCCACAGATCCATCACAAGACGCAATACCCAAGTAGAACACAGCAACTATCATACGGATGGCGCCCCCCTCACAACACACCCACATGACCCCTATCGATTTTGGTAACAAAGTTTTTATTGTTGTTATATAAAAATTATCACCAACGTTTCATAGTAGCACGCCACTAAGACGCCAATGAACGAAACTCCGCGTATCATAGCGCTGATGCTCTAAGACATGAAGTTGAGTATGCCTGTTACACTTAAAAGTGCTACCAAACACACTCATCATCCCAATCCGAAAGATAGACGACGCATCGCTATGCGCTACGACGTCGCCCACAAACGGTATGGGTGTGCGATATCCACGGGAAAGCCGTATTGCTACTACAAACCCGCTTACCAGCGGCACTAAGATTGTTGTTATATAAAACTGCACCAACGTATCATAGTAACACGCTACTAAGACGCCAGTGGACAAAACTCCACGTATCATAGCGCTAATGCGCTAAGACATGAAGTTGAGTATGCCTGTTACACTTAAAAGTGCTACCAAACACTCTCATCATGTCTAGGACACATCGGTTAGCGAGTCCAAGTTTACCTCGGACCAATTCCTCGTGAAGCAGCACACACGCCACCATAATATTCCTTTTCAAGTCCCTTATAAGGACTAGTCATTTTGCTACACTACTAGGAGCAGTCGGTCACCCAACCACCCCATACAATGCTTATGCATACATGAACTCCTTCCAAGACTTTTTAGACAATTTTTAACAAATTTTCTAATTATGTTATAAATGTTATTTATCTTTATTTTTGTAATATTTTCGACTTGTATTTCTATAGTTTATCTAATTTTAAATATTTTTTCAAGTTCTTAATAAATTTATTTATTACGGAGGACAATATTTTGCCTTTAATTTACTATGTTATTGGTCTAATGTCTGAAATGTATTTATATTAACTTTATGGTTATTAATGTACTTTTATTGTTTAATATATATATCTTTTAAGACTACTTTTAACGCCCCTTTATATTGAATTTAATTATTAATAATAATATTGGGCCGTCACAGTCCACCCCCAAATTTTATGTTAATGACCCACACAGTGGAGTCGTTAATATAAAATTTTTCTATATTGAGAGCATATGCACTACACTCAAAATTTTGAACTTATGTGTATCTGTTCTTTCCTCTTTCAACCTGTTACAATTCAGTATATATTTTCATCCCACCTACCCCAGGGAATGGCCGCCGCCAAACACCCCTTCAACCACATCTATCCCAATGCGATAAACCATTAATCACTATTTTGATAAACTGTATTTATGTTGTTATTATAGTGGTTCTCTTTAGTTTTTGACTTAAATTTTAAGTCCTTAAAAAATTAATTCAGCAATGTTGTTTTTATATGTACTACAGTATTTTGAATATGAGTTGAAATCAGATGGCTACACACCTATAGGAAAAATGTGATTGAGCCATTCACCCTGACCCAACTCCCCAAATTTATTCAAATAAAAATATTTTACAAAATTATCTTACATTCAATATTTACAGATAGTCTTTAATATAATTATTATATCATTTTTTATTTTTAATGCTTTTGTGTCTTGCTCATAACTTTAATAATTTTAAATTTATATTTCAAAAGGCCACCCACGGGACCAAATTATATTACAGTATTTATTCTAGAATGTATATAAACCAAAACTATTATTTAAAATATTTAAATAAATGAATAGCATTAAAATTTCCTCTAATTTAATTTGTTTCTGAGTTTGCTAATATATAAGTATACATTGTCAAATGGTACGGCTGCTTGAACTAATAAATGTGATTGAGCCAGGCGTACTGACCCAAGTTTATAATTCTCTCTATTTAATTCAAATTATTACAAACAACACACATGAACATTATTTGTTTTAATGAAATAACATAATAAAATTCTTAAATTAATATTTTCTTAAAAATTTTACTTAAATCTTGCTCATAACTTTCGATTATATTGAGATCATTAGATGGAACGTCCTTTAATTAATTGGTGAGATCTTGTAAAATGTTACTAGATGAGTATTTCATTTTCCACCTTCAGCTTTTCTATTGTTACATTTTGTATGATATATAAAATATTTCGTCTAGGATCAGTGACATGTGAGGTGCTCGCCCCGTACACCCCTTCTTGGTTTACTTTAATTTGGTGAACTTTCGTTTGGTTAATAAACTTTTCTTCGAGAAATTATTTTAACCAAAAATGTTTTCACTGCATTTTTAATTAACTTTTGAAGCATATTAAATTCATTTTTAGGTTTAGCTTTCACTAAATTAAAACTTTTCTTTGTTTTAGCCATTTTTAAATTTATATACTTTTATCAGTTTTTAGCACTGTTATGTCCTTCACTTACACAAATGTTACTGCATCTCCTCACTTATTTAATTTTATGTTTTATTTCGTATTAACTATGCACACACCTTTTAAAACAAGTAATCAATTGATTAAAACTACTTTTACGGATTTTATCGCGTTTTATTTATATTAATTTTAATACCCGACGTTTCGGGTGCTTTCCAGCAACCATGGTCACGGGGGACTGAGGTGACTGACGTCCCGATGTCAAAGTTAACCCGGAGTACCTTCAGCTTTTTAATTATTGTCTTTCGTCCGATCTACGCAGAATGAACTAACTGTATTTTGAAGTCTTGCAGTGGTATGCTTGGGTTTAGTTTTAATTTTATTAAATATAGGATCCCAAGCAGGTGGTAGTACCCATCCTCCTTCTCTATTGAAATTAGGATGTTTTTTAATTTCAATAGCCTCACGTATCATCCTTGGTAGGAATCGATGTTCTTTCGCGAGGATTTGTGGTCTATCGGTAAATCTGATGTAATGGTTGGGGTCATCTAGAATATGATCGCAAACTGCAGACCTCCCGGAACGTTGATGCTTCACGTCAGCTATGCGTTCTTTTACGCGGGTTCTAATTGATCTCTTTGTTTGCCCTATATATGAGAGACCACAATCACAATCAAGCTTGTACACTCCTGCATCTTGTAGAGGAATATGACACTTGACGGATGGTATGGTTTGGACTCGTGCTCTCTGAAAAAAAGATTTGGGATCTGTGACAGCAAACACCTGGCCGCCGAGCTTCAGCACGTCAAGCAGGTTCTGCACGACAACAAGCTTCGGGTCCCGCGCCTCCGTCACAGTGACCGAGT